CACAACTCCAAACACTCTCCAGTCCCTAGGTCCCCAGTTGCCCAAAGAGCTACTAACCGGTATTATGTAGCCCAGTAACGCAGTGTCTCGGTATTTCTTTTTATTTTTTCAATGTTCTCTCCGCCAATTCCAGGAAATTCTAGAAACGCAGCCGGACATCCAGGACGGGGGGGGTGACTGCAAGGGCCCTAAACTGCCCTAAACCTTAGAAATCACATCCCTAAGCCCCACACCCGAGACCCTCAATTGCCTTGAAAGCTCAACCCACCCTAAACCCTAAACCCTAAACCCCTAAACCCTAAACCCTAAACCAACTCTTAGCCCCAATCCCTATGCAACGCTCATGTGCGTTCAGTATTCAGCCTTTTGCCTCCGTGGTTCCGGAGTTAGGGAACTGTTAGGGATATCCCTGCCTTATAGGGCTTCATTATACGGGGATTCATATGGGATATCCCTATCCTATTTTTTGCTTATGTGCTTTTTGGGGGCCCTATGTTAGGTTCTTATTTTTCTCTGTGCTGTTCGGACAGCATTGAGCCTACACGTCATCTACCGGATCCCACACCCCTAAACATCCTTAAGCCCTAAACCCCTAAACCTTAAACCCTAAACCTGAAACCTTAAACCCTAAACCTAAACCTTAGACCCTAAACCCTGAACCCTAAACCCTAAACCCTAAGCCCTAAACCCTGAACCTTATAAACCTTAAACCCTAAACCCTAGGCCCTAAACCCAGAACCTTATAAACCTTAAGCCCTAAACCCTAAACCCTAAGGCCCTAAGCCCTAAACCCTGAACCTTATAAACCTTAAACCCTAAACCCTAAACCCTAAGCCCTAAACCCAGAACCTTATAGACCTTAAGCCATGCTGGTCTAGAGTCTAGCGCGTGGGCCCTGGAACTCGGCAAAAAACTTGGGGCCGCCGGCCCTTGTCGTGCCCTCACGCGGGTCTAAGCCCTACGATGAACCATCATGACCTAGGGGTTTAGGGTTTAGGGTTTAGGGTTTAGTCTACCTTCTAGAAGGTTCTTATTCTGTTGTAGTATATTATTACCATCATAATCATTAGGATTAGTATTATTAGTATTATTATTACTACTATTGTTAGTATAAACCCTTGCATGAGTTTGTACGGACCCTACCAGACAGTAGGCTTAGGTCATTCAAGGTAAGCCGGAAGCCCGAAGCCCTCGGCAAATCTGATAGATCTGAGCCCCGAAGCACCCTGAACCCTAAACCCTAAACCCTAAACCCTAAACTCTAAAGCCTAAACCCTAAACCCTCAACTCTAAACTCTAAACCCTAAACCCTAAACCCTAAACCCTAAAAGATAGATCGGAGCCCCGAAGCAGAAGTGCGAAGGACGGCTGCGGCGCGGCCGTCGCATTGATTATAGGCCCCAATTCCCCTTTCGGGATTCTCAGGCTTTCAAGTGGAGACAGCGTGGCCCTTACGAGGTTCATGTTATATAGGGGCCTTTACAATTACCTATACTATTTTTTTTGGGGTGGGTCCTTATTTTAATTACAGTAAATATACCTCAAAACCTTATGCTGGTTATTGAGACCCCTACATTAGAGGTCGGAGGAAGTTTCAGGGCCCTAGGGGTTTTGAGCTTGGCTCGGGTTCCAGCCCGATAGGTGAAAGGTAGGGTTTAGGGTTTAGGGTTTAGGGTTTAGGGTTTAGGGTTTAGAGTGGAGCATGGTGGGCAGAAGCTCTACTGAATGTTTACGATCTCCGGATCGAGAGCCCTAGAATCTGTGTACTCTCACCCCTTGGGCTATGCATCTAAACCCTGAGCCCCAAGCCTAATAAGAACAGGGTCGAGGGGTCTTTGTCTAGGACATCTTCAGGTGGGTAGTTCCCCTTATAGGAGCCTTATAGAAGGTCTATATACCTTATGGAAGCCTTATAGAAGCCCCATAGACCCCAAACTCCCCACCTGTAGTTTCCTTAAAACCCTAAACCCTAAACCCTAAACCCTAAACCCTAAACCCTAAACCCTAAACCCTAAACCCTAAACCCTAAACCCTTAATTTCCTTCAACTTTGCGTCTGAGAACTCACCTTACTCCTGTCCACGCCAAACCCAGACCTGGAGCAGGGTTTAGGGTTGTTGGGTTTAGGGTTCAGGGTCAAGTTGTGAGGGTTTAGGGTTCAGGGTTTAGGGTTTAGGGTTTGGGGTTTAGGGTTTAGGGTTTAGGGTTTAGGGGTTTAGGGTTTAGGGTCAAGTTGTGACTTGTGACCCCGGGATCTCTTGGGCAAAGGTTTAGGGTTTAGGGTCGAAATTTTGGGGTTTTGGGGTTGACTTCGACCAGGTTCTAGGGTCGAAAGATTCTCGCCCGAGCATGCCAAGCCCCAAAACCTTTGGCTCCATGTACCTATATAGTCCATACATGAATATACTTAGGCCCTAAACTTAACCCAAACCCTATAACCCTAAACCTTAAACCCTAAACCCTATAACTCTACAACTGTAGGGAAACATGGACCCTCAGGGCAAGCCTCAGTTCCCTGGCCCACTTCTCAAAGCAGGTAGGCACCCCAAACCCAAACCCTGAAACCTTAAACCCTAAACCGCGAAACCTTAATGTAGGGGCCTTAATAATTAGAAGAGGGTTTTGGGGCCCATTATATTATACTTGTAACAAGGAACCCCACAATAGTATAGATAATTATTCAGGCCCCTACATTAAACTTAAACCCCAACCCAGCGCATGCAAACCAAGTGGACAGGCGACGTACTCTTCTCCGCAATGCTAGGCCTCTGCGATGGCCTCCTTTTCGAGGCACATGGGACTGCGTGGGTCAGCAATAGGATCGCTTTTGATCCGAAATTCTTATATCGAGTGCATGCTGAAACGCCCCAGGTTAACTCACGACCTCTCCACTCCTCACGTTTGGAGTCTTTGCGATCTACCAGGATCCCGCAAGGTATTCTGAGCAAAGCTACTTTTGGATGTACTGTTGAACCCTGAGCCTAAATTCCCTGCAGAGCTCTCGAAACCTCGCCATCGAAATCCCTTGAACCCTAAACCCTAAATCCC